CATTCTGGCTCTCTCTCTGCCAGTGCAGACTACCTAAGTAGATAAAAAGAACGAAAAAGTACCCACTGTAGAATATCTGCAAGTATATCTCAAGACAGACAAAGAGAATGCAAAATTAAATTCTTGATGTGAAAAGAATGGGACAATGAGCCCCTCTCCCCAAGATACTTTTGGAAGGGATTCCATTTCAGTTCTTTCTTACCTGCTTGCTTGCACTATTTTTCATTGATGCATACCAAAGAAAGCTTGAAAGCTTTTTATTATTTCTTATTTTCTTCTACTTTTTAGTATGTGGTATAAGTTCTTTTTTAAAATATTATTTTCCTGCCAGTGTTAAAGCAGTTCCCATTTTTCTAGTTTGTTTCTGACACCTAGCTGTGATCAACAATGCTTCTCCACTGAATCACTTCTTTCATCTATTCAGCTTCTGTTATTTCCCTTATCTCACCTCCCCCCTTCACCAGCTTACCTCTCATTAACCCTCAGGGTTCCAAACATATTGTAACTCTCTCAAAGATACATATTTTTATTCAGACATAAGTCATTTTTGCTTGCTAGCTTCAGTTTCCATAATTCCCTAATAAAATAGCTGTGTGTAGTACATATTCTTTATGGTACAGTGAACAATAAACCAAGACATTAATTTGTACATTGTACACTGTTCCACTTCACCTTTTCCCCCTCTGAACCGATAGTCAGAGAAAATCTAATTCTTTTTAATGTAAGAAATATAGTTCTATCCACATGTAAAATCTGCTTGACTAGCAGTTTTGTTTGACCAAAAAAATTAATATTTTTCTAGGAGTCACTTTAACCCATTGCAGTATATTTAAAATCATGTTTTAACTTTCAGAAGTAGTGGTTGTGATACATTAAGCTCGGTTTCTGCTGCTATAAGACATACAGGAGATTTCTAGGAAATAAGCACTCTTTTACCTACACTAGTGTATTTATGGCTTGTTTTCAGATGTATAACTACCTTTACTTTTCTGAGGATGAAAAATAAGCAAAACCCAAAAGATTTACCACTTGAATTTTAGCTGTAACTTTTGTGATTGAAACAGGTGAAAGCAGCTGGAAGTACATCCAGTACATTCATGTAGACATCCCTATCTGCTATCCCTCCACTTAATTGTGTAACCCATCTCCAATCATGAAGTCAGATAAAATTCATGTAAAGTTTTTGGATATGTGTGTTGTGTAGCATGAGGTGAGCGTGTAAGTTCAGATGCACATAGAGAAAGCTCATTGCTCATACTGGTAAATAAAATAACTGTGTCAGTAAGCTTACATAGGCATCTATATTTAAGAAAAATTAAGGGAGATATGTAAATACAAGGAGACTATATAAATAACTTCAGAATTCATCATGGTTGCATAAAGAAAACCTCTTTGGAAAACACATTTGTTCCTGCTATTCTATATGTTATTAGCATTGCCTCTAAATAGAGGTTATTCAAGAACCATAGAAAGTTAATACAATGCTGTGTTAATACGTTAATGGGTATATTTATTGGAATCAGGTGGAAGTTTCCATGCGTGAATGTCTCAACTTCAAAACTTAAAGTTGGATGATTTGATGTTTATAAAACACAAATGACTTTTTTTTTTAATTTAGGCAACATTTCTCCTGATTTTATTGTGTAACTAATCATTATCACTTGACTGTACAAAATATAAAAAGAAAAATCCATAGTAAATGAATACCTCTTTCATATTTTTAAATGAAATATTTATACTGGTTTACGGTAAACTTTTTCAAAATTCAGTAAGATTTTAGCACAATTCAATGCAGTCTTTTAAGCAAAAACAAATTACACTCAAGAACATTCTCACAGATAATAAAAATTATTGCCTTCACTAAAAATTTCAAGTTCGTGCCAGAAGCAAAATAAATATTTAAGTTACATTTTGTGCAAGTAGTCCTTGCTCATTTAATCCTCAAAGATACTCAGTCCTTTATAACTTAATCACTCCTTCATCTTGTATTTATTACTTCAAATGGTTAGTTTTCTATTACAGAGGAACTTATTGCTGTATCAAAGGCTTAATTGAGCTCCTTTTAAAAAATCATGATTGTCACTATAAAATCATGCATCCACAGTAAGTGTGTTTACAGAGAACTTACAGCTTTAAATTTCACTTAGAAAAAAAGCCTTACACTTTCCTGCAGGTTCTGAATGCAGATTTACTATAACATAAATGAATAATAATACCAGGTTGTTTTGGAAAGTGTTCTTTCATGCAATCCCTGCATTTAGCACAATCCCAAAATGGCAGCCCAACAGGTGGTCCTTTCATAGCCTTCAGCCCAAACAATCGGGACAAAAAGGACACCAAGAATCGAATGTTCTTCAGGATTTAAAAAGCTGTTCACTTCCCTTTGTTCATTTTCAGATTTAGCCATGTTCATTATTGTTGAGCCACAAATGCAGGACATTCTTTTTTGACATTTTGCCATAAATAGACACTGACTGGGGCTGACTAGCCAGCTAGCTGCTTTGTCACATGCAAGCGGAAACTACTTCACAAAGCGAATGCATTCTTGGTGACTCAATGGCCCCGGCAAGCACCGGTTGTGACATGTGGCAAATCTGGCAAAGTCTAGGTTAACAAAAGTATGAGTGACAAAGGCTGAAGTTTCTCTTCCTATATTTTCCTCCACAGTAAGTATTTAATTCTGGCCTAATGAATTTGCCTGGAAGACTGGGTGACATTGACAGCCTCTTGAAACTCTGAAAATATACTTTTGCATTGTGGGCCCTCTTCAGAGGGAACTGTTAGCTAACTGGTAATGACAGACTTCAGGGGTGAAATCTAAGTTGAAATACTTGTTTCTCTGTATCTTAAAAGTTGAGAAGGTTTCTTATTACAGTGATCTCAGTCTCAACATCCATAACAAAAGATAGGCCCAGTCCTGTGGTTCTTTAATGATGCAAGCAGCCCTTACAGCTGCCTTCACTGTGCTGCAAGGAATTACTCTCACAAATAATGGGTGTAGAAGCACAGATCAAGCTTTTTCCTTCATGTGTATGAATAAGTGCATAAAACACATCTTGTAAAAAAAGCAGAGCTATCTGTAATGGTGCCTAACTGTTCAAGAATAGTAAATGAATTTATCTTCTAATTTTTAAATTGTCAAGTCTGATCCTCTTCTGCTACTGTGTATTTTAAATGGAGTGCACACAGTGGTTTGTTTATTTTTAGTTTTGTTTTTTGTTTTTGTCTGTTTTTTAAATTTTTTGACATCTCCTGACAAGTTCAAAAATTCCAGGACCTCCCATTGCTATTACCTTGGAGATTTTCCAATGCTCATCCAAGTCCAGGGTTTCTGATCCCTGCTGGGATGTGGATGAGACCCATGTTTGTAATAGCTCTAGTGTGTGGGATGAAGGTTTGATACTAGACCCTTGTTAACCTGTTAGATTGAAATTAGACCCTGTTAATATCTTACTTTCAGCATTAAATTTTTGGTGGAAAATGTGACTTGCTTCGAACTGTCTTATGAAAAGCTACGATGCAGACATAAATAAAAGATTATTGCATTTTAATTTTAAAACATCTACATGAAGAATTGTTTATAAAAGTTTAAAATTATAATGGATCACTGCTGATAACAATTCCAGCACAGGTGCAAGGAAACGTGTCTTTCAAGCCCTACTGCTGCCAAAGGGAACAGCACAGTCTAGAAGAAAAAAACCTGCAGGTAAAGACACAGTCTTGCCTATGTTAGTAAGGTAGCAGCTATGCTAAGCAGTGAATTTTTGCTCTTCAGTTCAAAAGCCTGAAATTAGCAATGGAAAAACTCAGTGTTAAATAGGTTAATGAATGAAGCCAATGTTCAGTGCTGTTTGTCATCCGGATATTTTTTCATGGTTTACCTGAGCCCATTGTATGTGGAGAAACCAGTTTATAAATGAATGAAAGGGTGAAAGCCAAGACTGCTGTTGACAACCTGAAAATGCTTGGGCAAACCTCTTCACTGCGAGTCTCCCCTTCCAGGAAAAACATCCACCGGGGTGTTTTCCTTGCAAACCTTCATGGAGGGCTGTGAGTCCTCATGGTGTTCTTCCAAAGGAGGAGGCTCCCGCCTTTCTTTGTAGTACAGAAGCAAAATTTTTCAACTTTTTAATAAAGCCATGTAAAATCCATAACCTTCACAGACTTCAGGTGAAACCAGTTAGTAAAATGTTTAGGCAACAACCAGTCAAAATGATTACTGGGCGCTAAATGGTGAATAAGCACTGTAAGAGGATTTTGGCTTATTTCAACCACAAAGTACACACAGACCAGAAAAGTTAGCTTGTAAAAAACCACAGTAAAATGACACAAAAGAGGGACTCGATGCTCTTTCCATTCTTATCTTTATTTTTAATTTTATTCTAGCAATACTATCATTCCAAATTTCCCTAACAACTATTTTAAATTAAGATATCTTTCATTGAGAAAAGTATTTTTATAAAACAGATACATACATTTTTCCATACTAAAGTCCAAGTTCCAAGTTAAAACTAGGAAAAAAATAATTTTGTTTGTGTGGGAGTGCTGATTTAAGGGAAGAAAAGTAAGAGTCACAGGATACAGAGAAACTTCACTAGAATATAACAGCACTGAAAGTCAAGTAATGGGGAGGTAGAAGCAGGGAAGCATCCAGCTTTACCTCCCTCCAGATAGCAATAAGTCTCTTGCAAATTTAGCTGTCAGAAATGATTGCTTTGTTTTCAACAAGTGGCATTACTTCCTCTTATACTGGAATTAAAATTGATTGAAATTAATTCATTACTTTTCAATATTTCCCACACTACTTCATCACTTTCAGTTTGAAAACACTCTTTCAGTGAAACAAGCACAGATAGAAACAGCATATGTTTCTGGGTTTTGTTTTTATTTCTTTCTTTGAGACATTAAAGTATTAAGATGAGATACTGGCATAGTAGTTCATTTTCCTTTAAAAATATGCTTCCAGAAATTATGTCTTCCTTGGGGAATGAGGTTTTTTTAAATTTTTTACTGATTTTCCTGAGGGGAAAAAAGGGAACAGAATAACTATAAATTCTTAAGCAGCCACACAGAATGGTTCAAATCACAACAAAACTTTTGCTATGCTGCTTGAGAGGATTTCCCATTTGAAGTCTGGCTCCCGCTTTTGGACTCACCTGGATGAAGGGCAGTGAGCAAACAGTGATGCCAAGTGGTAGGATTAGCCCAGGAGCGGAGCCAAGCAGGACAAGAAGCCTGTGACAGGCAGTGACCTGCAACGGAAAGCAGAGCGCACTGATGGTTCAAGGAGCTCGTGACATTTCATGGTGAAACTGCCTGCAGCATAGATCTGCCTGCACTTCTTCAGTTCCAGCAGCTGTAAAACAGTGCTTGTTTGGATTCAGCTGCAGCACCAGTTTACCTAAAGTCTTGCAGCAGCAGATTACAGTATAATTCAGGCATCTATTCTGTAGGATTACTAAGAAAAGATCGTATTAAACAGTCTGCTTATTCTTGTGCCAGATACGTTATGTGAAAACATCATTTTAAGTGCAGGACCCAGACAAATCCCTAGTATTTCTTGATCTATCATGACAGCAACCTTGAAAGACAGTCTTTATGACTTACTTACAGGGAACTGATGGATAAAGCATGGAAAAATCAAATGGTTTGCACAAAGCTTCACCAATAACTTGTGGATGTGGAAAGCACTGCTTTTCTCCCTGAACACAGAAGTTTGTATTTAGTCTAATTGAATTCTTTGCTTTTCAGTGTTTCTGCCTGCTTGCATTTCAGACCTTTGCTGACTTTGGTTCAGCTGTAGAACCCCACATGAAGCCAGAGAGTGTTGCTTTAAAACATAGACTAGCATGTCATCCCCATATAGACCCACTTCCAAAGTCCAAGGACTTCCCTTATGCCAGTGGGCTTTTTCTTATGTTCCTGTAATAAGAAGATCACCAAAAGCATGGCAGAAAAAGGGAGGATGAAGGCAGTAATCTGAGAAAGGGAGAGCAGGTGAGAAAGGGAGGAATGTTTGCATAACTAAATTGTCGAGAATGGGAGTGACTAAAATAAATACAAAGCAGCTGGAGTCACAGGGAACATTCTAGGATAGGGTGAGAAGGAAGGCAGGGTTTCTTTGTTGCCATAAAGGTATGCCATGTTCTTGATGATTAGTACCTGCTAAACCTCTTTTTCTAAATCTTGCTGTAGTAAATTTTTTTCCCTCAGAAGGACGCAAACAGGCAACATTCGCTGTTGCCACACAGCAGTCTTTGAATGACTGACAAAGTGAAAAGATATAACAAATATTTTGTAAGTAATAAAATCTGTGGAGTTACAAAAATGCCTATATATAACAATTTCCATAAAAAAACTAGATTCTGAAGCTGATTCCTTTCTCAGTTAATCCTACAAGAGCCCTGAACCCTCATTATAAGCCGCAACATTGATATTACTTGAGAGAAAATTGGTTCCTGAAGCCTGTAGTCATTGCAGGCAGAATCATGGAGCTCTGTGTTGCTAGGAGTCAGAAACACCTTTTTCTGAGACATTCTGAGGGACTAATAGTCTGGTTTTCTTCTGCACAGAAACAGCTCTTCTCTATGCATTTAATGACCTGATAACCCTTAGACTTCTTGGTGTCTGTGCAACCTGCAGCAGCAGCAGCCTGTCAGAGTCATGTAACCAAAACTGGTTCCTTCCTCTCCTGTCAGACTGCTGCTTCTTTGTTTTCATCTCCTCTGTGCTAACAACCCTTCTGTGTAGCATCCTGCAAGGTCAACCTCTGGCATTCTCCTTTGGCACATCTTGTGTCATCCTGGTCTCTTCTCTACCTGTACAGCTATCTGTGCTGGGTAAGTGTCTTTTCTGCGGCTCCAACACCTGGAACAACCTTACTTTGTCTCCTGTTGACCCTCTGTCTTGTTTCAAATTGCATTTGAAATAGCTTTTCACCTTTGCTATATCTATTTTTCCTCTTTGCTGCTTGTTGGACTTGTTAGAGGCACTCAGTGAAGCACTTTGGCACAGCTAAAATACAAGTCCATATACACATGTTCTGTATTAAACTGGAATTCACAGGCCAGAACAGTTTGTTACTCGATACATGGTATTGTAAAAGGAAAGCAGAGATGAAGCACTCCCTGTAAGTGTGAGTTCAGAACTGATGCTTTCCTCAACCTGTGCTGGAGAGCATATCAAAACTATTTCTCCATGTTGCAATTAGCATCATCAACTTTTAACATACTGATTTTTAAATGCTCTCCATTTTGCAGTGTTTTTCCTCCTTTGCTGTTTGGGACATGCATTAATAAAGAATTGTGAGTGTGAGAGGACAATGTTTCTCATCCCCACAACGTAAGAAATGTGTATATCATAAGCCATTGCAACGTCAGTGAAGGTTTTCCACTGCACTGGAGAATTCCTGTCCTGTCTCATGTTAAACTGTGGTAGATAATTTTTATTGTTTACCTTGGCTGAATGCCAGGTATCCACCGGGCCTGCACCTGGCCTACCCCCTGGGGAGAGGGGAGGAGAAAAGAGGGAAAAGGAAAAGAAAAACCGGGAAACCAAACCTGCTAAGAAAGGTAGTTTAATATTTACATAGAGAGGAAAAAAAATTATAAAAACTATACACACAGAGAAGAACTAACAATAAAGACTCCTTCCCCATGAGAACGCTCTTCTCCTCCGAAGAAACGGCTCAACTATTCTGCGCAGCTACCCGGAAGAGAAGAGAGAGCCTTTGCTTCCTTCTCGTCTCTTTTATATCTGAGCTGACGTAGCATGGTATGGAATACCTTATTGGCACGATATGAATCAGGTGATCTATCTATCTAGCTCCTTTTCCCTCCCAGGGAGGGTAACAAACCCGTTACAATAATTCAGCAAGTGTGATGATGTGCCCTGCAGCTGAAGTTACAAGCAGTACAATCTGCTTAGCTGTGTAATCTGAACAGGCTGCTTTCCCACAATGGTAGTTTAGTCTGTATTAAACAGAAGGCTCTTTCTGCCCTCCTGTCCCATTTTATGATGCTATACTTGGTGGCAACAAATTCTGAAAAATTCATGTGTACATGAAGGCAACAATCCATATATTTTCTTTCTTTCATGAGTTTTGTGCAAAGGCTATTGTTCAGGATTTGAGCTTGTTTGATACTACACACCTTCTTGGCCTGAGAAGTGTCTGGTTAGTGAAACTCCTTGTTAGTTTTCTTCAGATTTATTAGTGGTGGCTGCTGTGACTGATCACAAAATTAATCCCTTGCAAGATGGTCAAGCAAAACAGTTGGCACACTTAAGCAAACATCTATAGTACGATGTGTACAGAATTGCTGGCATGAAATTGTACCTCTCGTTACTGTAATAATTGCTGACATCTTGCTTTCTTGCTAATATACATACAGGTTACATTCATGAAGCTCCAGCTACATAAAGCAGAGTCTGGAGTACTAGGTAATTGATGGCACTTTCTTCATTCTTTGAATGATTTGGATGATTCAGCGTCTGGTGTTGACATTAATTCTTCTGTATAAACACAACTACAATGCAGGTTCTTCAAACTACTCCCCATATACCCAGAAAACTCAGAAATAAAAGAGAGCAAGAGCTAGGTTTGCAGACCAGCGCTTGGTAAAGACTTCGTCGTGCTATGTGTCTTTTCTGGGAAGCAGCTAGCCAGACTCCATTGGTCTTGACAACTCAAAAGGGAGTGATGGTTTCCACCAAATGCAAAATTCTGTATGTATAAACTGACTATAAAATAATGTAGCATATGCATGTACATGCGCATAAAAGACTACGTATTATAGACTTACTAGAATTATCATAGAACAGGCTATGGAGGCATAGCTTTTATTCTCTCACAAGTGTTAGTAGGTGTATAATTTGAGTTTTGAGCCAAATGAGTTTGTGACAATTGATTTATCCTGGCTGTTGCTACAAAACTGCATAACAGAGCATATTGTAGAACCTGTAAACTGGGTCATAATTAAGTAAGAAATTTTATTATATTTATGTATAAACAACTTATTTGTATTCATAGTAGATTGTCTCCACAAATCTATTCTTGTCTCAGAGCCAAATAGAAATTTAATGTCATTGTTATGTTTAGGTGAACATCACGCTCTTATATTCCCCTCTGTTTGGCCTTGAATAAAAATCAGAGCAACAATAATATAAATGGTATGAAAGTAGTCATGAACAGTAGCCCATCTGTACTGGACAGAATTCTATAAATCAATTAGATGGTCATAAAAAGCTAATCAGATGTGGATGAATCAACTGTGGAAATAAAATAGATTGAACTCTTATGTTTATTGTTCATGTAGAACCCTTTTTAATAATCAAGATGGGTAAATTACAGTAATTAACCTTTAAAAATTTAGATGATTTCCAAATAATATCTTCAAACAATGCCTATTCTTTTCATTGTTAATTTTAAGTGTTTTGCCCATGACAAGGCAGTTTCACTACAAGATCTACAGAGGTAGTTGTTTTGTAGTTGTGCTTTCTTTTTTCTTATTTCTCAATCATTAGACTTTCTACAGTACATAGTCCCACCTCGCCCCCATCAGATAGCACTTGAAGTCAGAAGAAATCAAATTCATATATCCTAGGAAGCAATGTCAAGAAAACTTGTCTCCTAGAGACCACTTGAGTTGGGTCTCACTGCTCTTGGGTGGGATAGATTATCTGACAGGTCATCGAATCCTGTTCCTAGCCATAGGAGCATCTTATCTGGGTTAGGGCAATGCTGGCAGCAAAAGCAACGTGTAGCCCAACACTTCTGGACAGGTTGCCTGCATCCTTAGCAACCCACAGGGCTGGGGATAGTTTCATACACTTTTTGCCATACTTTGAGGTAGCAAGGAATTGTGAGAGGATTATATGGCTTCATGACCTCTCTTCATGACTGAAGAGAGGTCCCTACTGCTACAGAAGCCTGGAGTACTCAGTAAGTCTTCAACAGGAAGGGTTAGGGGAAACAGTTGCTTTTATGGGGGAAGGGAAAAAGTTATCTGTAAGGGAATCTTTCTGAAGACTTTTTTTTACCTCTTCAAAGCTCTTTCTCCAGGTCTTCATTCAGGAGAGGATGGCTCAGCATCTGTTACTGTAGAAAACACATTCTTTGTTCTCACCAGTGCAAATGGTTTGTAAACTGGTCAATCAAAAATATATTTTTATTCAGTATTTTAACTACTTGTCCTTCAAATAATTAATCTTCAGCATTCTGGGGTTAAAATTTCTCAGTGGTGTTGTAAGATCTTAATTACAACAAAAGAGATAACTTATGATGTATTAAAAATAAAGAAATAATCCAGTACAGATCACAATACATTGGATGGAATGGCGAATGGTTTGAGTTTCCTAAATTACTGATATTACCTGCTGATATGAGGGCTGTTCAAAAGGGCACTTCACTTTTGGGTTTATTTATTAAAATCCTGCACTCAACTGTAAGAAATTAGCCTCCTAGAGATGAATCGCTCCCTATTCAGAGGAGCCTGAAGCAACAAAACCAATCATGCACACACTGCAGAACTGCACAGTAACACAAGCTCCAATGTTTTATTACATCTCTCACACAGGGTACTAAACAGCAATGTGAAGTGTTCCTAGAGGGAGACAAATGTTCTTGGCTTAAAAGTGATGCTCTTAGATATTTTCCTCAAATAATTAATGCCAAATTTATAGTGCTGTACT